CTCCCTCTCTCACCATGCTCTGCTGTACAGCACACTGTGAGATCACCCTGAGGATCATTTTCTAAGACTCCTCCATTGATCAGTTCAAGCCCATTATACTGCTGAATTTCCAGCTGGCAGTGCTTATCCAGCAAGTGCTTGGTTCTGAGTCCATAGCACTTTATAGGAGGAGAACAGGATATGGGGCAAGGGAAACAGAAATCCCTTCTTTTCCCCTATTCTTGGGGGACAGGAGATTCCTTCACATCACACTCAGCCTTGTATGCCTTGCTGGGAAACCTTTGGTAATTTTTCACAAAGAAGAAGAGGAGAAGAAGGATAATGAAAAGAAGAATGAGAAGAGGGGGAAGAAGAAGAGGAGGAGGAGGAAGAGGAAGACAAAAATGAAGAGGAGAAGGAGAAGAAGGAGGATCAGAAGAAACAAGAAAGCCTTTGGGAATCCTGATAAGATCATCCCTTTCCAGTCTACCTTACAAAGTCTGTCATCTTTCAACTTTAGAACAAAGTACATCTTGATGTTCACAGTAGGGCTATGGTTTTTTTTTTAAACCTGTCAGCATATCCCTTTTTGGGAATTTAATTCTCAGCAGCACCATTTGATTTTAATGGCAGAAAAGCTGTGGAGCAGGTCAACAAATAATCCCTCAGAAAACACAGTGGACAGTTGTTTAGAGCACCTCTCAATGTGTGTGAACCTGAGTGGGCCCATCCTGACATAGCTCCCATCTTCCCTGACTGACCTTAATGGTGCTCTCTTTCATGTCACATGGAGAAGCTGCCTTTTCACTAGGTTCTGAGTTACGTGAGTTTTAAAGATCAAAACTTGAATGAAATCTCCTGAGTAGGGGAGCCCAGCCCATAGACTTAAACCTGAATGCATGTGAGGGGTCTCTGTGCTGGGGCACAGCTGTGGTACTGCATCATCTCTGTTCCACTGTCCTTGGCAATTTGGCCTTGAGTTCAGAGCTATCATCCATAGGGCATGGTCATCTGTCAGACCAGAAAACACGGGAGCTTCCCCAATAGGGAGCCCTTTATGAACGCTGTCCAGACTACAACTGGCCAAATACAAGCACCTTACAAGATTTAGGCAGCCTCATGATTATTTTTCCCTGTGCTTAGCTAACAAGGCTACCTTGAGGGCAGTTTGGCTTTTGTCCCTGGCTTATGACTATGACCTGCTTCTTTTGTCTGGCATTAAGGTATTCCTACTGGCAGTCTTGGTGGAAGGAGACTAACCATGTCCCGTGGGTGGCACTTCCAAAGTTTCTTATCATTATGGCCTGAGGATTCCAACACTCCATGCTTTGCCTTTCTTCCATGTCTTTGCATACAGTCATGAGTCCGCTAACAAAGGAGATACATTCAGACAGCTGCCTTGTTAGGTGACTTCATAGTTTTACAAACATCACAGAATATACTTACACAAACTGCTTATGATATCACTAAATTATATAAGCTTATATATTCCTTGACTGAATTGTTGTTATATGGTACATGATTGTATTTTATTCCTTCTTAATACATTTCCTACTCAAGGGTATCCACTGAACTAACTGTGCATTTTTCTGGATACCAAAGCTGGGCTATACCCTAGCTTTCAATAATTATTGAAATTATTTTCAATAATTTTGAGCCTTTTGGCTAAGATTGCCCATACTCCCACTTAGCCTTTCAGCCAGCATTCAATTCTGTCTCCTGGAGGACTGCCTTAATCATTCTCTCTTTACCATTGTTTCCCTTCCCTTCCTACACTCTTCCACCTAGAACCTTCCATGTCCTCTTATCACAGCGTTTATCCCTGTGTCCTGATTACTGTCTCTGTCAGCCTCTTTTCTAACCTTACTGATTCCTAAGAAGGTAAAGATAGCATCTTGTTTGCCTGAGCATTCAGCAGCTGGTACACTACCTGTGTGTAGTAGCCTCGCAACAAATGAATAAATGCATGCTAATCTTGAAGGCATTTGGTTCACAAACTGGTGAAGAACGGGGTAAGAAAATGTTTCTGGAACAGGGAAGGCAAACCGGGTAAGTTCAGTGTGATATTATTTGTAATATGAACTTAAGGAACTAAATTGTGGAAACAAATATAAAGATGAAATAATGGACTTAGGAAATGGTGATTTTGTTGATGTTTAAAAATTTTTAAATCCCATACAATTTCACCCACCGAGAGAAGAAACACCGTTGCCATGAGAGCTATGAATTTCATCTTATCTCCAGGGCAACAGCGTGACTAACGTTTCATAGAGAAGAAGAGGAATTGAGACAGATTCCCACAGACTAGATCCAGTGTTGCAACCAAATGTCATTTAAGAAACAAAACAAGCCAAACTTTCCAAGGCAGAAGGATAGGTTTTAAAACCAGACTGGAAGGAGATGAGGTAGAGTCCCTGTGTAAAATCCTCCTGGTGGAGACTGAGAAGATGATGAAATAATAGACTGTATGAGTGTTCAACTCTGAGACAGCACAGCACAGGCTTTTTGGTGTTTATAGCAGGGAAGAACTAGCTGGTGAAAGATGTATGTATAAACTGTCTCCCGTGGCCAGTAGCGATATGCGATCACCCCTGTGGAGGGCAAAGGAATACGGTCATAGGCTTTCCCAGAAAGGGAAAAACAGAGCTGCTCTGAGGATTGCACCTCACCTCCCATTGTTCTCTAGCCTGGAGTGTTCACATTTCAGCGCCAACAGGAGCAGATTTCAGGTCTGATTTTTGGCATGGTTTTTTGCCTCCCAATTTTGGCATTCTGTGAATCAGTCCGTTGTCATGGGGACAGCCATTTAGACAATTCATTTGAACAAGACTTTGTTAAGTGGGCAGAATAGGACCCAAAAAAGTATCCCTTTTAGCAAACAAGAGCCTCGCAGAACACTGTATCATTGCCCAGTTAATAGCCGCAGCTGGCTGTCACAGGGCTTTGCCATGCGTCCCTGTACCTCTCCATCTTCTCGGGATACCTGTGTTCATTGCTTCATATAATCCTATGATAGGCAACCTCAGTCGTGCGGGATCTGGCTTCCTAGACTTTCAGCATCCTCTTGCCGTGATGGGCTCCCTTTACCAGCACACTCTTTACATCAGGTCACCACAGTTGCCACTGTGCAAAGAGAGGCCACTGCATATTTCCAGTGTAGAAGATGTGAGCTTCTTTACCCCACTGTCAGTAGTATCAATTTTGAAACCTCTAACTGCCCTGTGTCTTAGCTACTTTTCTTGTTGCTGAGACAAAATACTTGATACCCAATGTTAAAGCAAGAAAGGTTTATTTAGCTCACAGTTTATAGAGGTTTCAGTTCATAGTTGACTGGCGCCATAGCAGGGTGACATTGCAGACAAGAAACAGTTTTTGGGACAACCATATTTCTTTCTATCCCTTGTATTTCATCCAGGCTACTTAGGGCAGGTAGCACTCATACCTTAATCCTAGTGCTCTTGATCTTAACATTGCACCATGAATCAGTCCCAGCATCACACACTCTAGATCCAGCCACTCTAACAAAACTCCACTGATACTACATGAGGCTTTGGGGGGACATCTAGACACAAGTCATAACACCTGGGGTCTTAGAGCAATCCCATCGGAAGAAGGACCTATAGGGCAAGCCTAGCACCCCAGACATGGGGTTGGTGAACAGATGAAAGTCTAAAGTGAAGGAAAGGTGTAAGAGCCACTGGGAGTGGGAACCCTAGTTCTCCTCAAAAGGCCCTTGCATGTAATCCATTGGAAGCTGTTCTCCAGGCCTTGCTCTGAAAAGGAAATAAAACATTATTTAAAGATTTGAAGGTAAGTGATCGTGTGCAACACAAAGGACAGCATCATTAGGGCAGTAGAATGGAGCTGTTTAGCAGCTGCCAAATGAGACTAGAGGCCAAGAGCATTGCCTTCCTCTACAGCCATCCAAGGCCTTGCCCTGGTCCCCTGAGGTATAAATGTATTGATTTGCAGAATGATACCAACATGACATCAAGAAAATCTAAATATGCAGATGTTCTCTGTTCCTAATGAGGTTATGTCTTGATAAGTCCTTTGTAAATTGCAATATCTAAGAGAAAAAGCTTTCGTTACACCTACCATACTGAACATCACAGCTTAGCAACACCATGCTCTATGGAGTGTTGTTTGTTTCCCTCATAATCACAAGGCTGACAGGAAGCTAGAGCTCCTTCCCCCTGGCCAATGTTGACAAAGAGCATAACACCTATTGCTGACTTCAAATGTGACAGGTAGGGTGGATTTTCAATTTGATTGGTTTAGGAGCCAGTCAGGATTGTGGATCACACTTCTGCGTGTGTTTAGATGGGTCGTGGAGACGCGACTTTATGTACTGTACATGGTCCCAGCCTCTTTCTTTCTGGCCTTCTTCCTTTCTTCTGCTTCCCAGCTGCCAGGAACTAGGCATCTTCACTCTATAAAAACTTTCTAGCATGATAATTCCACCTTGGAGGCAGCTAACCATGGACTGAATTCTCTGAAACTATGAGTCAAATTAAACCTTTCTTTTTTTTTAAGTTGTAGGTGTCTAGCATTTTGTCCAAGTGATGAGAAAACTGACTAACACAGAGAAAATCACATTCAAATTTTGAAGTACAGCTTCTACTTGATTGTGTATTGCTTTTACACCATAATGAAGTAAAAAAGTCATAAATCAAACTGCCATAAACCAACGTCACATAGGTAGGAAACAGCACAACCAGGGATTAAACCCAGACTGTCTAGCTCCAGAGTCTGTAATTCTTAATCAACATCACTGTCAAGGGTGGAATGGACAATTCTAAACAGAAGATGCATGAGTGTAACTCCTCCCCTAGGCTATGTGTGCTGGATTCATCCACCATCCCTGGTCAGGGCAGAGCTGACTTTGTGAAAGGCTAGAAGGTTAACTGAAATAGGGTGGTTGCCAAGCTGAGAACAGGCATAGACTTGAAACTTCTGCCTTCTCTAATGAAATAAACAACCTTATTCTTGGCCTGTTCCCAATTTCCTGCTTTCTAGTTGAACAAAGACCAGGGTCTCTTGATTTAGGAGAACAAGACCGAGGGACAAGGCAAATTCTGTTAAGTCACCTGAGTCCTTTAGGTACCACCATGCATGGACCATCTGGCCAGCAAGCCATTTTAGTAAGTTTGATGAGTTGGTGGTATGTGTGTGATAATACCCCTTCCTCATCTTGGGGGACATTTGTTCAGTAGTCAGCAGGGAGGCGCAGCATTCTGGTTGTCCTTCAGTTTAAACATACTGACCAGCTATTGAGTTTTCCATCTGGACATTGATTGATGCCAGCCACTCCTGGGAGTGCTGCTGCTGCTTCTGGTTGGATGTCTCACCCTTAGGAAGGAATGAGGGTATGGGACAGTGAGATGTGCCCAGCTGGCAGAAACGCTTTCCCGTTACTGTATATAAAAACAGTATGGAGACTGGCGTTGTATGGACAGGGGTTCAGTCTTGGTCATTGGATTACTTTAGGAAGTTACTTCGTCTTTCCAAGCCCTAGCTTTGTCACTTACGGAGTGTGAGCAATGCATCACAAGTTATTTGGGCTAATATAAGGTGTCCACCATATAGGAAGGGCTCAGCAATTTGAGCTTTCCCCCCAGGATACTGTGTTCTTAAGGAAATACTTCTACTGGGTTAGCTAATATCACCGTTCTTGGGTGAGTCTTTGATTTGCCTCTGACCATGAGTCTTTAAGTCAGAGACACTTTCATGCTTCTGGATGAAAGTGACAGTGATAGACTAAGAAGAGGCATCATCAGAGTTTCAAAATAGACATAGGACAGTGCTGATACAAGAGGCAGATAAAAACTGCCGTGATTTAAGAGAGAAAAGAGAAGATACTGGGGGAAATAATTGTACATTAACTCATTCCATTGTACTGTAGTAAGTATTGGGGGACTTTTTAAATTATGGTTTTACATCAAGTTCTCAAAGTACAATCTCAACAAAGACTTATTGTCACCTAGAAAGATTCTGCACAGTGAAACCAGGGAATTAGAAGATCACCTAAGAGGAAAGAATTATTGGCTAGCAGAACAGAGAACATCTCACAGACTCAGAATTCCATTTCGATCCAGATTCTGCTGGGGTTGATGTTTGCTTACCAGACCAGCCGCAGGCAACGTAGGGAGTTAGCAGCAAACAGATAGTCAGAGAGTTTAAAGTCGTCTGACTCTGTCTCTGCAGATCTTCACCTTCAGAGACAACTCTCTTGCCAACTCTGTAGTGAGAACGAGCAGCTGACGCATATGCTCTCCCTGTCCTACGGAACATGACTTCAGTTGCAGAGGACACAGTTGGGAAAACACAACCAAAATGTGCAACAAGCATCCAAGTGGAATTGACCGGGAGAAGGATTGTGACCAGCTGAGGAAGAAGGTTAGAAAGTCACCTATAGAGAGGAAGCCTGCAGATTTAATTCAATATTGATTTCAGTTTCAGAGCAAAGAAATTGCTTTTGCAGCCAAGTGTGCTGCTGTGCAGAAATCTCTATTTTTCTCATCCAGCTGGGATTCCTCACCCCACCTCCACCTGTTAGTCCCCCCCACGCCGTGTGAAAGCCTGAGCAGGGCTCTGTTTACACCCAAGGCAGTGCTGTGACCAGCGAGCCTCAGGCTTGTCTCCCGCAGGCCAGGTTTGGTAAGGTGTTCTACACACCTATACCCTGTTCCCACAGGTGATCTTTAAAAACAAGCTAGAACTCCAGTTTTGCATCTTTGATACAAAGGGATTTTAAAATAACCCTACCTGAGAGCAAACATAAACAGGGTAATTACTGCTCAGCTGTCCCTCTTCTGGTCTGTAATCCTTTTAAGCCCACGAAAAGTTGACACCATTCAGGACCAGACCTGCCTCCTGTGTCATTTTTCCTCCGTGAACCCAAACACTCATTCATCCCTTCACCACGTAACCACCTGAGAATGGTGTGACTGTCACCTAAACTGTGCCAGGCAAGGACAGGTGGGTTGGTTGAGATGGAGGCCCAGCCAGCCCTCCCATCACAGAAGAAAGCTCTCAAATGAATATCATGTCATTGAATTGAATCTGAGCTGATACAGTTTTTACAGATATTAACTATGGCAGCAGCTTGGCATGTACATCAGAGCAGTAGTCTCCTAATGTCCAGCTCCAGGCTGGCCCCTGTGCCGTTCTCTTCTCTTCCTCTTTTTTTCCTGTATAGCTCTGTCTTGCTGTTTACAGTAACTTCTCCTCCCTCTTTCTAGTGAGTTTAGACCTCAGTTCTGGGCCCACTGATCCCTGTTTCTGGTCAATGAACAGATAGGATTTTGCATGCATATATGTATGTACACAAGCAGGTGTGTTTGTCCTCTGTCTGGAATCGACATGGCAATTAAGGATAGAAACAGCACAAGGACTCATCTCTGACCGTGTGGAAATATATGTGCGAAAGCAATCTGGATGAGTCTCTGCTTTCAAATAGCTGACGATCAGTGGTATGGATTAAACAGGATAAGGAAAGGGGAAAAAGAAATTTATGTAAATAACTAGCCTTGAGAAAGAATCAACAGAATGAGGTATATGCAGTGTGTAATGACACTCTGGATGTTTTAATTCTCACAGGAGATCTGGACAGAATCGTATTTCCTTCAAGATTACTTTCTGTTTTTACCAAGAAACAGAATAGTTAGTATTAAATATTAAGTGTAAATATAAGTAAACCAACTCATAACTGCATTTACTATTTACTTAAGATATCTTAGAGCTAAATAGTTGCAGAGATTGTTCAATGACTTGGTATTTTTCTATGCTTTTTCAATCCTTCATTGTTATTCTCAGTGTTGCTGAATTCTTGTTATGCTTTGTGGTCTCAAGATGGCTGCTACACTTCCAATCATCACATGAGCATCCCAAGCTTAAAAGAGGGAACAAAAACAAGGTATTTCCTTTTCATTGAGCCCTAAATTTTTATATTTTTAAGAAATAAAAATCTTTCCTGGATTCTTCAAGAACCTTTTCTTTATATTTCTTTGCTAGTCTGTTCAGGTTGCTATAACGACATAACTTATAAACAACAGAAATGTATTACTAGGAAGGGAAACTGGGCATCCCAAAACCAAGGTGAGGGTAGCTTCAGAATCTGATAGGGCCCTGTTTCCTGGTTCCCAGATTGTGCTTCCTTGCTGTGTCCTCATGTAGTGGAAGGATAGGGCAACTCTCTAGGGTTCCTTTTATAAAGGCACTAATCCTATTCATGAGAACTCTGTCCTCATGAACTAATCACCTCCCAGAGAGCCCACCTCTTAGTACCACCAGCTCAGCAATTAAGCTGCAGCATATGAATTTGGAGGTGACAGACGCAATGATTCCGTAACAATGGAACCCATCCATCCCAGGCAGGAGGTACACGTCAGCCTATTGCAACTGAGATTCTGTGAGCAGAGGGGAGGGACGGAGACTCAGAATGGTCTCAGAATGGTCAGCCAGTGACTTCTGTCCCACTTTCCTCCAATCCTTGTGAGACAGAGGTTAGTTGTTGAGTCCTTTCCCTATCCTGACTCTGAAAAGACCCCGGATGAGCCTCCTTGGCTGCCACTGGCTGTGCAGGGGGCCCTGCAGGAAACTTCCACCCTGTAGATGTGACATGACACTGCCTCTTTCACACTGGCTTCCATGTGAGACTTTGGTCAGACAGGCCTGGCTCATCCTGCCCTTGATATGCCACTCAATGGCATTATGTCCTTTCTCCCTACCCACACACAGACCAGTAAACATACACAGAATATTTTGTGCCTTACAGAATTACTGTGAGGACTAAACCACCACTGTAAAACCCCAGACATGTTAATGTCTGGCCCAGAGAGATGCTCAATGCACGGCAGTTTTAACAGCTGGCATTTACGGAATATTTACTATATGCTTGGCATATGGTAAGGAAATTAATTTACAGTCTCCTACAAATTAACTCATTTAACCTTCACAGTGAAACCCAGATTTGCTTTAGCTTAACAACTCAGAGAATAAGAAAGAAACATAAACTCAACCAGGAGCTCAGAGGTAGAGAGATGCAGAATTAAGATGGAGGTCAGGCACTAGCCCAAAGCCTGGTCAATCAGCCGTTGTGTGATTCTTCCTCCCACATGCAACATTGCTCTCCTGGAAGTGGGTTTGTGCCCAGCAAGGACGAACACTTCCTCATAGGCAGTGGACCATGGATAACAGGCAGCTGGAGTAACCCCAGCCTGTGCGGCCATGGGAAAGGCAAGCTTGCAAAGAGGGAAGGCAGTGTCCTGTCTGAGAGGGCAGCTCAGTGGGAAGGCCACAGAGGGAGTGAGGCTCCACACCCCGTCCCAGGGTTTCTGCCCAGCTGCTGTGGTTTGGCGGAGCTCAGCTGTGCTTACAGCAAACCCTTCCTCATGTTAAGGGACTGCTCTCAGGAGAATCAGTGCTTGAAGCCTCCTGATCCCTGCGAAGTTCTTGTAGATTATTTTTCAGGTGTTGAAAAGCCTCAGTGTTAAAACCTACCAACATGGGTGCTGGGGATTTAGCTCAGCGGCATAAGCACCTGCCTTTCAAGGGTGTGGTTGTGAGTTCGATCCCTGGTACCAGGTTAAAAAAAAAAAAAATAAAAGCACCAACATGAAGTTATTTTGAAATTCTTCCTGGAGTTCAGTTTTTCCAAAGGAAGTAAGGCACAATGCACTGCCACTTTTCCTTTGGCTTCCATGAAACCCACAAAAGTTGTATCAAATGATTTCAACTGACAGACAGGAAAAAACAGAATCACAGATTCATAAGCTGTGTAGAGCCCAGGGTTAAAGCCCCTTTTGGTTTGAGATCCACTCGCCCCTCTCCCCCACCACCAAAAGACAAGGAAGGAGCAGGAAGGGAAACTGAATCCATGCTTCACTGACTGCCCTAAGTTTAAGTAGTTTCAATTCAGTTTTTTTCTTGGTGACATTTCTTTCCTAGTGGAACCATGGATCCGAACATCAGTGACTGCAGTAAGAGCCATTTCATGAAAAGAAACAGGTGAGTCTAACAGGATGCTGGAAAGGTCTCTTAGAGGACATAATATTTTAAATGTTATTTTTAATGGGGTTACCCATTAAAAGGGTAGGCTGCTGGGTAGGGAAGTGCTCTAAGGGGGTGAACTCCGCACACTCTTCACCCTTCATTTTTGTGTCATTGGCTTTGGAGTTGTTCGAGTGTATCAGATGATGTTACAGAAAGACTTGCTCCCCACTGAGTAAAGGATGAGAACCCGCAAAAGGACAGAAAGTGTAGTTATATGGCAGAGCACATAGGCCGGCCTCAGGAGCAGCCTGCGCCCCACACGGATGGATGGAGCACGGGTGTTTCTCAGGCCACATTTCCAACTGTTGCTTCCTTCTGTCCATCTGAACATCACCGAGACAATGACAGGTTCGCCTCTTTAAAATCACCTTCTTTCATAGTATGTCGTGCACGGTAACATGGGATGGAACTAAGAAAGGGGACAATTTGTTCTTTCCCTGGTTTTACAGAAGAAACGATTCCAGGCTGGGAGCAACCAAGTAACTTGCAGAAGGGTTTTGGCAGCTGTCTTCAGAGTGCAAATGTGTCAGGCCGTGGAGCCTTTCCAGAAGATGTGGAGGCATGTTGGACACATCAGGAAGGTTCCTGTCGCAGGAACTGGAGATGCACATTGTTTGGGGCACTAATTTGTTGCCTCCATGGAGTCTGGGTTTGTTGATTCTGCTGGGCTTTGGAAATATGGTGGTTTATCAGGAAGGCTGCAGTGTGTCTATAAGCTAGAATCATGACCACAGAATTTAAATCCTGGAAGGCACTTTAGAAGTTTACCTAGCTGGATATCACTAATGAGGCAAATGAAACTCAGAAAGGCTGATGAACTGACCCAAGCCCATGCCACTAATACAGAGCAAGTACTTGATCCCAGACCTGTCTTCAGGTTCCCCACCAAGGTCCTTTTATCTGTTGCTTACTGCCTAGCATTTTGGTTTCTTTTTGTGGCTGTAATTTGTGGGCCAAGAAAGTGAGGAGAGAAAGACTGAATGGTGGTGAGGGATGGGGAGATGGAGTTGGAGAGACCTGAGCTTGCATTCGGCTGCACTTGTAAGCTGGCTGTAACCAAGGGCACATTCAAAGAAACAAACATGGGGGCAGTGGGTTGTTCCAGCTGAGACTATGCCTTTTTCTCAAGATGGGAATTTATTCTGGAAGCTGCATGTAATAGTCTCCTGCTTCATGTCATGTGCCAGGGTAGGTGTTCTGTCTTTGGTTAACTGAAACAGAAAGGGACAGCTCTCACCTCTGCAGTAGGAGCCAAGGAAGCCAGCTTGGGTCCAGAGGTTCAGGGAGCAGGAAGGTGGGACCAGGGGCTCCCCATGGCCTCCTGGGTTGAAGCAGACCGTGCAGAGCAGCAGGACAGCAACGGGAAGGTGCCGGCTTGGGCCCTTCACCTGGGATAACTCTTCTCCACTTGAGCGCTCTGCTTTCTTTCCCAGGACTATAATTGTAAGGGTCTCTCTAAGAGCATGAAGGGCTTTTGGAAAAAAGAGTAGGGTCATGGTTATTGAAAGTACTTGGGTAAAATACCTTTTCTAAAACACAAAGCGGTTTTGTACCATTGCCCAGGTATGTCACCTGGGCATTTCCTACTCTTTAGGAACCAGGTAAAAGTGGTTCGAACTGCCCTTTTCTTGGCACCCCAGGATGCGCCCACATGGGGTGGGGCTGTGCGCTTGTGGTTATGCTGGCTCCCCACTGCTGCATTTGTTCCACTTGAGGACCACATCCCAGCCCGGGGAGGCCGCTCCTGGTGTCCTCGGATGACCCAGACATCCATCTCAGAGTCTTCCTTTCTTTTCCACCAACCTCCCCAAGCTCCAGGTATATTTATTTTACAAAGAGGAGAGCGGTGAGCCAGGCTTACTTACATCAAAGCCAGGGAAAATTCAATGGAAGCAAACAAACTGGATGGTGAGAATTATTTCTTTCAATTGCATGTTCCCTTTGGAGGCAAGCTGGGTTTGTGTTACAAAGACTCTGTCTCTCTGCCATTGTGTGTGTAACTCTGGGTTCCCAGAGCAGGGTGGATGTTTAATACATTTGTTAAATAAGAGCAGGGAAGGGCAATTTTAGTCAGGAAGCAACCTCTCAATGATTTGTGAACTTCTGAGAAAGTTAGGGGAACGGGAAGAAAACCAGGATTGTAAAAGGAATTTTCTTCTTGAATCTTTCACTTTCTCGTGTGAAAGCTTTTCTTCCTGTTATTTTGGTGGAGAGAACAGGAATCAGTGTGGAAGTCTAGTCACCTCCCACGGGGTCAATGGCATTTGGCTGAATATATGTATTTAAAGATTTGCCTACAACTCTTGTTATTGGTTCCTACCACTCTACCCACCTATGAAGAGTCTTTGAAGACTGCGTGTTCTGCATTTCTGAGGTTGCCATGGTGACGGAAGCTCCAGGATCTTTGGCCATAAATAAGTACACTAAATGTTTTCTCTTGTCAGGTGGGGGGTGGGCTTCTCTGGGTCTGGAACATACCCACATACCAAATGTGCCTCCGTTTCCTTATGTGAAGAGTAGAACTCTCAACAGCCAGATTACTCAGTACCCTGAAGACTCTGATAAGCAATTTCTAGCCAACCACATATAGCAAAGACTTCCTGGCTCCAGCATTAGCTAAGGTGCTGAAACTCTGGAAGGTCCTATAAGCACACTGAGCACTGAAGTAATATAATTGCTGAAAGAAAATATCTGTGTAAGACCAAAGTGAAAAAGAAGCTACCTGTGCCAGTCCAGTCATGTTGATGGGTCATGCTGATGGATTAAGATTATTTAATCCATTTCTCAGATTACTTAATCCATCTGATTACTTAATCCATCTATTTTATCCTTCTAAAAGCCCTAATAGAGTTCAGTTTTTTGGTTTTTAGTACTTTCACCTCTGGACTGTTTCTGCCCTGAGCTATAACAGGAGAATCTCTTCTTAGAGGAAGCAGAAGTGGAGGCAGTAATTCGGGTTTGATAGCTCATCTTCCTGTGGTGGGAGCAGAGGGTGACAAGGAGAAATCAAGCTGGGATGTGAGGAAACTGGAAAAAGCCATTCAACATGTTCATTATTGTATGTGGAAAGTCTAATTGGGTTTTAGAAAGTCGCTTTGTTTGATCTACTTGAAGGTTATGTTGATTAGCCCCTTTATTCAAATAATACCCTCAAATAATTTCCATGCGTGTGTGACATGAAGGGAGCTCTGCATGCCATTCTTCTTTTAAAAGGGAAGAACAGTTGCCCGCCCTGATCCTATTATGTAGATGAACTTTAAGAAGACATTTGTTTACACAGAAGAACAAGAGCGGAAAGAACTGCTTAAATCATCTTAAGACGTGAGGATTGTCCCACTGCCTGAATAGCTGGGGTTCAGGGGCGAGCCAAGGATGGGTAACAGCCACATTGATCCTCGTATGGGTGTCTCATTGAGTGGCCCAGGCCAAACCGTGCAAATAGCAGAATAGATGTCTCTTCCCCACCATCTTTTTAGAATGAGTTCTTTCTGTTATATTTATCCACAATGAACTATGTATCATTCTTCAAACATGGCCCTTTGACCTGTTTTTGTGCCTGTGCATATTTATCCTGTCTGGGATTCTCTCCTCGTTTTCTCTTTTCTGGGCACCTACTCGCTCTTCCTTCTTGATCAGAATCACCCTTCTAGGAAGTCTATGTTGATGCTTTAGCCACTGTAACAGCTCGGTGTTAACCCCTCATAGCCCACCATCCTCAATGTCAAGATCTGACTGTGTCTTCATTGCTCAGTCCTACGTGAGAACAGCAACTCGGGTCTTTGCATCTTCGTAGACTTGTGTCTCAACAGTGTTTGATATTTAAATTTTGCTTGTCTAATTAATTACTAGGCAATCCATCCCAACATTCTCAAAGTTAAGAAAGAGTATAACGGCTATTACAGAATCCCGTATTAAAATCCCTCTGGTGATGCCAACACTCTGGTGGGATCTGTGAGCAGCTTGCTGAGATAAATTCAAGTTGCTGGGTTTACTAAGTAGACCTTGAATCTGCCACAGTTTTATATTCAGAGTCTATGCACCATTGATTACCAATGTGTACCAGGCCCTCTTCACCTACCATGCCAGTTAACTCTCTCAACAGCAGGATGAAATTGGTATTAATATCTTTGCTTTCCATTTGAGGAACTGAAGCAAAGAGACATTATGGGCTTGGCTCAAAATCCTGACCTCCACAAAATAGGAAAGCCAGAGTTAGATCTCTGTTAGCTAAAGTTCAAGGTGATGCTCTTGACCTCTGAGTCATATTGCTTTTTAATGTACTTGTCAGAGTACATATTTAATCATTATTATGATGATGGAGAGGGCTGGGTGAGAGAACATAGCTTAGCCCAGGCAGTTTTTCACTCTTAGGCTTCAACCAAGGCCTGGAGGACCACTGGACTAGTACTGAGTGCTCAGGTGATGCTTTCGGAAAGGCACCCATGGACCTCCTGGAACAGGAGATCTGCGGAGTGTACAAACAGAAGTGTTACTATTGAAGGTTAGATATGGTGAGCTTTACACACACACACACACACACACACACACATACACACAAAGAGAGAGACAGACAGAGAGAGAGAGAGAGAGAGAGAGAGAGAGAGAGAATGCACTCCCCAAACTCTCCTGACCTTTTACTAACAGGTAAAGTCCTGTGTGGGGCCTGGTAAGAGGCAGCAATAACTCCAAAACAACTCCAGTAAGAGCAAGCCCCAGGGCCCAAATGCTCACCTCCTGCCCTGGGTTCACTCAGAGTTCTGGGCAGCAGTCTGAGGTCCAGTGGAGAGGCTTCCAGCTGTTCTACATCAGCCCCAGGCAATGGTTAGAGCCTGGGATTTGTCTGGGCTTTGTAGTCCTTGAGGGCTGTGTCGCTTGCTGCAGACCAAAGAGCTGCCAGGAGGCCCCAGAAATGTTGGAGAACAAAGCAGCAATAAACACACGCTGAAACCTTTTACCAACTGGCTCTGTCCCAAACCAAAATGAGAAATGAATTGTTGGGGCAAGTGTGTGCATGTGTTCATGTGCGCGCACACGTGTGTGGGAGAGTGAGTTAAACTACTGGCTAAGAAAACCCTGTGTTACATAGGAATATTCAGTTTGGACCATTGAAAGTTGTGACCAAATGAATGCAACAAATTTAATTTTTACAGACAGATTTACTGAAAAACTCGATGTGACAGGCTGTGGAGTCTGGGCACCTCAAGTTTTACAAATACTTACGTTACTGAGGGGAAGAGCAAAATGTGTTTAAGGATGCTTGAGGAGGGTGTTCCCCCTCACCCTGAGTGGCATCTTGGGATCATTTCATGGTCATCAATTATTAAGCATCATTTGTAACTAGGCGAGTGAGCCTGATCTTATAGATATTGTCTATCATTTTAAAAACAGTGCTACAAGCTTGCTATTCTTGTCCTCATTTTAAAAAAGAAACTGGTGGTCAGAATGCAGAGATCATTTGTTCCAAATCATGCTACTGGAATTTGAATTCAAGTCTTTCACACTCTTAAAATCCTTAAAATCCATGCTATTTGTTGCAAATATTTAGCATTACTAAAGCTATGTCAGGTCAGATCAATATTTATGTGAAAACAAGTGTTTTCTCAATGCATTGACCTTTATGATCCTAAATTGGAATTAAGTCATATTAGTTATGATGAATAAGAGTGGTGCACTCCATTTTGGCATTTTCCTGTATTAATGCATTGAATTTTTACCACAAATCTCATCAAGAACAGGACCAAACACAAACCCAAGAGTTAGGAGTTTCATCCAATTTCTGGTGCTCAATTACTCTTTTTTTTAAATTCCTTTTGGTAAAATAAATGCTATTTCCCTTATCTTTATTTATTAAGGCTCAGCGAATTCATGTCTATAAGTTGTTTGCAGTATCTTGGACACAAGAAAGTCATATAGTGTTCTAGTTGCTATTTTGTTTGATTAAATTTACTAACGTTCACTGGACTGTTTTAAGAAGACAGATGATTCAACCAATAATCTCCAGGACAAATCTGTTTTCATTTCAAGATAAAGTCAGTGAGCACAGAGACATTAAAGGATTTGCCTCAACTACACACTAGATTGTTCTCCAAGATTTATACTTGGCCCGTTATTAAGCCATTCATTCCTCCCGTTGGTATTTATTTACTGGAATGTCTGAGTGCTGCTTTCTGCACTCAGGTCGCAGCAGTGAACAAAGCCATGGCGGGTTCCTGTGCCCATGAGCTGAGTGTGTGTGTGTGTTGGGGGGGGGGTGACTTCCAAAGCATAGATGTCATTTTTAGCATGACATCGATCTTTTCTGCAGCTCCTGGCTGGAGAAGTCACGCCTCTCATGTGATGGCAAATGCAGGGTTTGATTTTAGTAAGTTGTTTCCACAGAAATGGGGTGTCGAGCTGTCTAGTTATACCTTTTGCACCTACAAACATATGAAGGGATTTTTGAGAACCGTGGTTGTTCTTCAAGATGATGAAGCTATTGGTTCTTTGCTAAAAGAGATGTTTCTTCTTTGATAAGATAGAAACTGTTCCATTCCAAGGGTGGAGGCCGGCACTCACTATGCATGCCTTGGTTCAGTTCTCCTGTGCACATGGCAGTCTGCTTTGCTCCTCCCAGATCCATGCTGCTTTGGTTTTGGCTGCATTTAGTGCAAGAGAGGAAATGTGGGGAGAATCCCTAAGCACCCAAAGACTTCTCTCCCTTTGATGTTAGCTCCCAGAGAGTCTTACAGTCACAACAACAAAGACCATGCAAAGGCTTCTTTCCTTATTCCCAGATCCTCAAAGAAATGATTTATTTAAATGCTTGCCAAATGTTGAATGAATAAGAAAAAACATCCCAAGAGCAAGACTCATGATGACTAGCTTTCGATCGTGACTTTAAAAATAAGTCGCTGGGATCTCACTCTCGGGCTTAGCATCTCTGGGCCCCCATATTCTTGTCTTTAAAATGATAAAACAAGCTCTCTGGCTTCCTCTAATACAGGCCACTGGAAATGATCTCTCTTGCACGAGTGTTTTGTAACAACATATGTTAACTGCCTGCAATACACATTGCAGTTGCTCCATGGTGAACACCCCGGAAAATCCGAGATGAACCTGACTCTGACTGTCTATAGAGTACTGAGAGGCTAGAGGCTCTTTGGTTAAGAAGAGAATTTCGTTATTGTTACTATGATTCTTGATAATAGAAAGCCCTTCTGGATCTTGTCACAGTCCAGAAGAATTCACATTTTTAATTCCACGGAAAAGTTATTGGAATTTTAATGTTAATTCCAATGCATGGTGAGAACACAGACACGAAGGCATGTTGGTAAACTGTGAGGACTCAAGAGGATCCTGAGCCCAGTCAGAACAATGGCTAACCACCGGAACAAAGGCCTCCACCCAGGGCCAAAGCAGAGTTCTACTAATTCGTGAAGAGGTAGTGGCTTGGGGCGAAGTGAGAATGGTGGGATGTGTGAGTGCATCTAGCTGGGCTAGGTAGGACATAGGTGAAGTCACAGCCTCTTTTCTTGAGGCTCATTCTCAGCTGACAGCTTGGCTTCACTGGGCTTAGCTCACACATGTCACAGGGAAGCTGCAGGCCTGGCACCGGTGACCTGTCGCATTGTTTCAAAGACTATGTGTCAGCACATCAGCTGGAGCCATCTGCGTTTCTTAAAGCGAGTGGAGCGGGTGAGGAAATGTCCTAGACAGCTGGACATATCGATACATGGAGGTGGGGCCAAATGCTCCTCTTTACAGGCAGTCCTCCACACTCGATCATTCACCGGGCACTTAGTATATTATAGGCACTGTGCTCAATGTTTTAGTGTTACTTCTTTTAAGCCTTTAACAACAGTATGATTTCGTCTTTTAATGGTTCTCATTTTATAAACAAGAAAACCACACCTCAGAAAGATTAACTTGCCCAGCTTTACATGTTATCAAATGATAGAGACAGGAAACAAAATCAGATTTGTGTTGTTTCAAAATCTGTTTCAGAAAAGGTAAATGTCACATAGATAGCCACACTGCACCTATGTCGCAGGTGTTGCTGTCTCAAGTGACAGCATCTCTTTTGGCTTGCATCTGCCTCACCCCTGCAGTAGGAGATTTGATCCATTCCAAGAGGATGTCAGAGTCTGGCAAAGATCCAGGAGGTCCCTTCCTGTCGCTCTGCCTAAGCCAAGCCAAGCCAAGCCAAGCCAAGCTAAGCCAAGCCAAGCCAAGCCACTCTAAGCCAAGGTGGAAAGAGGAACTAGATGTTTTACAAAAGCAAGGGAAACATGAAGGGTAAGTTAGATCCCAACTAATTAATTTTTGCAAAATTAAGAACTCAATGATCACAGCATTGATATTCTACACAAAAGTGATTCCTAGAAGGGAAATTGGAACGTTTTTAATGCAATTTTTTTTTTTTGTATTTTTACCGGTACCAGGGATCGAACTCATGACATGCTTGCAAAGGCAGGCGCTTATGCCGCTGAGCTAAATCCCCAGCCCCAAGGGAAACTGGAACGTTTACAACTTCTGAAAATATTTGTAACCATTAATTCCAGTTCCTAGAATGCCTTTCCAAAACTAACTAACTGACTAGCTAACTAACTAACTAACTAAACCAAAGACAAATTTTACTCAGCTTCTCAATCCCAAAGTTGCTATCACTTCAGACCAAGAGAAGGTACACATTTAGGCACTCATGCGACCTTGTTTTCAAAAGAATTTCTCTGTTCATGCTAACAAAGATGTCATTGATGGAAACCAAGGTCATTAAAACCCGGAGCACATCCACCAGCATGGGAAAATGAATCAGATGATGACTGCTTTGAGACATGGACTCTGTGGGGATGATCAGCTGATCTCCTCGGGAGTGCAGAATCTCCCCAGGATTCTGTCACCAACCACTAGCCCCTCCTTGGACACAGACCCCTCAGCACGACTCAAACAAAACTGCCCCTGCTAATGGACAGTCTTCTAATAATGGATTGGCTGTGCTATTTCACAGCGGAAACACTGTAAACCATAGAATTAATGTACATGTCATGGTCTGGTGACTGGAACCCCTGGGTGAAGAGGCCCCAGTAAACAGAGAGAGATGCAGTGTTTATGTTCAGCATGGGCTCAGGCTGCACACTAGTCTATTGTCTGTTCCCATTAATTGTCACTAGATAGTGTTATTATAGGTCCACTTACTGAAGATATACATTTTTTACTTGGGTTTTCAATGTGCTGTTGTTTATTCTGCTGCTGGGTATGCTGAATAATCACTGTTGTTTTGAGTTTTCCTTTCTGTGAGTCCCTTCCCTCTCTGCTGAGCTGGTATGAACCACAGTCATGCCTCTCAGGACCTGACAGTATACACTGGGAGGACTGAGAGCTTGATTTATCATAAGAGCATAGAGGTCCAGAGGCCTGAGTATCTGGCCAGCACCCCAGTGACCAACACCAGAAACCAGCTATTGTGACCTGGGTCTTGGGACATTTTTATGTATTTATTCCACATCAATAAACTTTTTTTTTTTTTTTTTTTGTCTTTTTGAGTCAGGGTCTCGCTATGTGGTTCAGGCTGGCCTTAGGCTCACTTTGTAGCCCAGGCTGGTCTCCAACTGGCAAGGATCCTCTTACCTCAGCCTCCAGAGTGCTGGGATTACAGGAGTGGGCCACCACGCCCGGCCTCATTGGCAAATATTTAAATGAGCCATTTCTCCAAGGAGCTAGGAGAGAAAGACTGAGGCACCCGGTGTTATTGCTGCCATAATGGCTACAAGCACCGAGAAGATCTTGAAAGGGAGAGAGGCCTCTGGACACCGTGAAGGAGAGATTCTCCCCGCAGTTCCTGTTTCCCACTAAATCCAGCTAAAACCAAATCAGCACAGATCTGAGATTCACTAAATAAATCCACCACAAAACAAGGTCAAAATGACAGAGGCCCAAGGAACAGCCACAAGAGCTTTCTATTCCTCCTAGGAACTGAGCTGAAGAGC